GGGGAGGGGGAGGGAGGCTGGCGGACCGAGGGCTGGGCCTGGAGGGCGACGAGGGCGGCGAGGGTGCCCGTGTGGGGCAGGCCCGTCCCCTGGATGAAGGTGCCCAGGGCGCCCTCGGACCCGGCCGTGCGCAGGAGCACGGCGCGCCGCGCCTTCATGTTCTCCCCGACCTGCATGAACAGGCCCACCACCCCGTCCCCCACCGTCTTCGGCGTGCCGTCGCCCTATTCACATGCACGACACGATACGACCAACGACACGACACGACCAACGACACGACCAACGACGACACGACACGAGATGCAATGCACCAGCCTCCATGAGTGTGGTGAGAGGAGAGACGCGTCACGTGGAGAATGGGGGCTACACGGATGCGTGCCGTGCCGTGCCAGGGCGGGCACACGTACGAGAGGGAGGGCGGAGAGCCAGGCCGAGTCGAGATGGTGCGGACCCTGTCCGTCGGCCGCCACCTGGCCGGCGCGAGCGAGGGCGGCAGCGGCGGCGTCCAGGGCCAGCTTCTGGAAGCCCTCGAGGCGGCCCACAAAGTCCGTCTCGCTGTTCAGCTGTGCGCACGGGAGTAGTTATAGCCAGCGCGAGCGCTCGCCGGTCCGGAAGGGAACGCGGTTGGTGTGCGTATGGTGGTGGTGGGGCAAAAAAAAGGGGGGGATGAGGGGTGCGTACCTCGAGGAGGAGGGCCTCGGAGGAGGCGAGGGCGAGGGCGAGGGTGCCCTCGGTGGTGGGCCGTTCGGCCTTCTTGGCGAAGCGGGAGCGTGCCTTGTCGAGGAGCCACAGCTCGGCCTTGGCGGGGTCGCCCGCGGAGGCGGCCAGGGCCTCCTTGCAGTCCATGACGCCGGCCCCGGTCCGTGCACGCAGCTCCTTGATCTGGCCCATCATGCCCCCGCCGCCGCCCCCCGCGGCAGCGTCCGCGAACGCGCGCGAGTTGCTGCAGCCTCCGGAGGCGGGCGTGCGAAGCGACACGAGGCTGCTGCTGCTGCGCACCGCGAAGACGGCAGCACCACGGCCACTCCCGGTGGTGGCGGCGGCGAGGGCAAAAGCGGCACGACAGGCGAAGGCGGACTTCATGAGGGTGGTGCGGTTGTTGTTGGTGGTGGTGCTGCCGGAGGCAAAGATTGAGCTCAGAAACAAAAAAGTAAAAAAATAAAATAATGAAAACAAGGCGAGAAAAGCAAATCTCTGGGGGACACCAGCACAAAACAACATGAACCAGGACGCCCTTGCTGAGGTCGATGACTTCACTTTCCTGCCGGGCACCGTGAGCCTGGTAGAGGAGGTAGACCACAGGATCCTTGTCGTGCTCCAGGATGGACGCAAACTGCTGGGCGTGTTGCGCTCTTTTGATCAATACGGTATGCTAACCCCCAAATCGATCAGCCCTGCGAACGTGCCTAATGTTCAGTGGTACTGCAGCCAATCTTGTACTGGAGCAGACCATAGAGCGCATTTATGTGGGCGAGCAGTATGCCGAAAAGAATCTTGGGCTCTTCCTCGTGCGGGGCGACAACATCGTGCTTCTTGGACCCATCGTACTTTCTCCCTCCCCCCTCCCTCCTGCCCCACAAAGCGAGTGCACGCGTCTAAACGTGGAGTGGGGGGGGGGGTTAAAGGATGAGAGTAGAGAGGAGCTGTGCGTGAAGGGCCTCACCAAAGTGACGTTGCCTGAGATCGAGGCGGCGCGAAAAGCAGAGAGGGAGGCAAAGAGGGCACAGTGGGAGCTCAAGCAGAAAATGAATCAGGACCCCTGGTCTTAATCCACACAACACCGGCCTGTCTTCTTCTCGTTGGTGCCCCCCCCCCCAAATCACCACCTCGGCTTCGGTGGGGTTCGAACTCGTGGCCCCCTCGGCGTGGGAACCGGTTCCCTGGCGGGCGAGGTGCGCGTCTTCGACTTTTCGGGTCGCCGCCAAGGGCCGGAGGTGGACCACGCGATCGCTGCCGATTCTCCAGGGCCGTGCCCCTCCTGAACCCAAGCAAGGCCCCACCAGCACGCGAGCTGCATGGCGCCCCTTACCGCTGGTGGTGCGTACATAAGAGGAGAGGAACCCATTCGCATCAGGACCATACCCGCATTCGCCCGTCCCACCTCAACTTGCTGTGTCGCAGCTATCTACTCCTCCTCCTCCTTCTTCATTCACTTTTGCTGCAGCTCTTCCCATCATCGCCATCATGCCATGTGCCTGCGCCCGTCTCAGCTTCTCCGGCCTGGAAAGGGTTGTGGCGGCGTTCTTCATCTTCGCGTCCACCTCTACCGCCATCGCCCTGACCCTGGCCTTCAATGAATGGGGCCTCCTGGTCCTTGCGGTGTCCTACATGGTGGCCTTCTTCCTGCTGCTGGTGCTGCTGCCCTCGGCCCCTCTCTCTATCCCTCTTGAGTGGCGCCAAGTAACCCCCACTCACTTTGCGCAGACTGGGCTCACAAAATGGCGGCCCTTCAAGCACTGCTGCTACGAGAAGGCGGGCAACCACCACCACGACCACAGCCACACCAAACACAACGAGTTTGGCGGTGGCAAGGGCGCCGGCGAGCGCGACGAAGTCTTGTGAACCGTTTTCCGCACCGAAAAGCCCCTGTCAAAGTTGTTGGCCGTTTGGGTATCGGTGATCGCTAAGGAGAAGAAGTGCGAAAAGGGTGCGCACGTGATCGGGTTGCCATAGGGTACATGGTGGGTTAAGGTGGCGGTAGGGCACGAGATAGGGGCGGAGGTCAGACGGTTACGTCAGAGGTGTCGCGGATTCAACGTGCGGTGAGGTGGCGGGTAGCCGATTACGTAAGAAGCGCCGCCCACCTACGACAGCACCACCGTCGAGCGATGCACGAGGCGCGTCATCACCTCCTCCTCTACGCCCACCAGCCGCACGCCGCACCAAACCAGGAGGCAGGACACCAGGCAGGGCACCCCATGGCCTCGTCTTCCTCTTCCCCGTCATCCTCGCACGGTCATCATCAGCAGCAACAGCAGCAGTCTTTTCAGCAGCAGCTGCGCCATCAGCACCACCAACCCCCGCCCCTATCTCATGGTCTGAACTCCTCCAACGGCGGCCACTCCACCCGGGGTCCCTCTCCGCCCCATCCGCACGGGGGTGTGCCCCCGCATTTGCCCATCAGCGGTTCATCCGTGTCCTACTCGGACGACAACACGGGAGGAGGAGGATCGTCGTTCAACATTCTCAACATGCAGGCCTCCTTTGACGACTCCTCGTCCCACCTCGACCTCCCCTCCCTACTCCAGGCCAACGGCAACAACGGGGGACGCGACGTGCGCCTAGGCGTGGGTCTCGACCACCACCAGCACCACTACAATCACCAGTACCAGCAGCACCACCACCATCAACAGCAACATCACCACCAGCACAGCTCCTGGTCCGCGCACGCCGTAGATCCGTTGCCGCCAGTCGCACTCTGTACCCCCCCCCCCCAATCCCAATTCCTGTCGCAACGCGGGTGGGGGGGGGGGCATAACGACGAAAAACGCGGGGTGGAAGATTGCGAGGTTTGGGTGGTGGTGGGGGAAGTTAGAGCCATTGGCTGTGGCGAGTCGTGTACCCTCAAGCATGCGGTGCTGACCCGTTGGTGTGTGGTGGTGGTGGTGCGGATGTGTTTGGGCAGTGCCCGAGAACAAGCCGCAAGAGCTGCCCTCGCCTGACGGCAGTCCGGAGGTGTCGGGTCCGCCTCCGCAGCACAGTAGCACGACCTCGGCAGCCGCGGCGAAGAAGAGAGCCGCCGGCGACATGTCGGCCTTGGGCGGTGTGGGACACCACCAGGCGGCGCCGAGCCTGCAGCACTTCACCTCGGCGGGCGACGAGGCCCCCAAACCGGCGCGTGCCAAGAAAAAGAAGGTGGAGAAGAACAGCAACGCCCTCCCGCTCGACGACAACGACCTCCTCGACGACGAGTTTGGCGACGGCCTCGACTGCGAGGTGGACGGCGGCGGCGGCGGAGGCGGCGGCGGCAAGGATGTCAAGCGGCAGATGCGGCTGGTCAAGAATCGGCAGGCCGCGCAGCAGTTCCGCAAGCGGCAGAAGCTGTACATCCAGGACCTGGAGAGGCGGTGCACCACGCTCACCGCGCAGAACGCCTCCTACGCGGCCAAGGTGGAGCTGCTCAGCACGGAGAACCGGCTGGTCAAGGAGCAGCTCGAGTACCTGCGCAGCTTCGTGAGCCAGGCCGTCCAGGTCTCCCTCACACCGGCCGCGGTGGCCGGCGGTCCCTTGCAGATGCCGGGACCCCTGTCGGCCGCGCTCGCCGGGGCCATCCCGGCGCCCCTGCTCGGCATCGGCAGCCCGCTCGCCGGCGCCCTCTCCGCCGGATCATCATCCCACCACCCCTCGCAGACCGGACCCGGCCGACCGGCCTTTGCGCCCCTCCAGCCGCATCCCATCACCACCGGCGGGTCCCATCTGGGCGCCAAGATGCCGTCATTCCCTTCCCCCGTCTCGCTCGCGCCCGCCTCCTCTTCGGCCCCGCGCGGAGGCGGCAGCGCCTACGGAGGCGCCTCCGCCTCATCCTCGCACCTCTCCTCCCTCCAGCCGGCCTCCTCCGCCTCGGCCTATGCCCGCGGCGGGTCATCATCCCTCATGCCCGACCTCCACCACCACCGCCCCCTCTGATGAACGAAAAAACAGAAACAAGCCCTCCCCCTCCCCCTCCCGAGCCTAGGGCTTCTTCTTCTTCTTTGTTCTCTTGTTGTTGGTGGTGGTGGTGTTGCTGTGTACATTTTTCCTGCGGGAAACCAAAAAGCTGTTTTTTTATTTTTTATTCTTTGGCCGGGGTCATGATGAGGCACGCAGCGGCGGCGGCAGGGAGCAGGCGGGGCATGGCGGTGGGGGTGGTGCGGCTGCCGGCCGGGGCCACCATCCTGCAGCAGCTGCACGTGGAGGAGGCCCTGTTCAAGCGTCACCCCGATCGCTCCTACCTGCTCGTCCACCACGCGGCCCCGCCCGCAGGTACCACCGCCAGGTCGGGTGCTGCTGCTGCGGTTGGTGCTGCTGCTGCTGCTGCTGGTGGCTGGTGGTGGGTGGTGCCGGCAGCGGCTTTGCTTTTGTGCTGTGTTGTGCTGACGACGGGGGGGGGTGGCCGCCGCCGCCGCCGCCAGTGGTGCTGGGCATGTCCGGGCAGGTCCACCGGGACGTGGTCGTGGAGCGGGTGGTGGCCGACGGGGTGCCGGTCATCCGGAGGTTCTCCGGCGGCGGCACCGTCTATGTCGACCGCTCCACCCTCTTCTCCACCCTCATCTCCACGGCCGACTTCCTCCGGCCCGACCAGGTGAAGGTGTTCCCGCGCGAGGTGATGGCGTGGGTGGGCGGCTTCTACCGGCGCGCCTTCGCCGATGCGCACGTGGAGGACGGGGCGGTCTTTGCCCTGCGCGAGAACGACTACGTGTGGGGCCGCCACAAGTTCGGTGGCAACGCCCAGCGCATGTCCTCCGCCCGGTACAGCACCCCGTGCCCTCTCTCTCTCTCTCTCCCCCCATCGCATCCTATCCGCACCACCCGTGTCCCACCAAGCTCACTGTCGTGTGTGTCGTGTGTGTCGTGGCTGTGTGTCGTGTGCCATGGCTGTGTGCTGCGGGTGGATGGGTGGCAGGTGGTTGCAGCACACGTCGTTCTTGTGGGACTTTGAGGAGGTCAAGTTGAATGCCTACCTGGCCCATCCGGAGAAGCAGCCGGCCTACCGCCTGCAGCGGCCCCACAGCGACTTCGTGTGTCGCCTCAGGGACCGGTTCCCGGCCCGCTCCATCGGTGCGCACCTCCCCGTTTGGTCACCAAATAATAATAATAATAATATCTGGAGATGGTGCAGTTCGTTGGTCCACTCGACGGTTGGTGCCATGGACTCTTGGCTGATGGCTCCTCTGCCACACACACACACACACACACACCGTATATATATATATATATATATAAATATGGGGTGCAGAGGACATGGTGGGCGCCATCCGCGGCGCGATGGGCGAGCTGGGCGTGGAGCTGGTCGACGTGCCCGCCACCGAGGTCGAGGGCGCCCTCGAAGAAGCCCGCGCTGCTGGCCAGCTCTCCTCCCACGCGGTTGAGCTCGGCCTCCCGCCTGCTGCGCGAGACACAGGCGTGGAACGACGGACCCACGCGACGTCGTAAGCAAAGAAAGCCGCCACCATCCGTGTACAAGCCCCCCATACAGATATATACATAGATAGATATGTGGAGATATAGAAAGGTCTACATGCGCGTATGTCTCAAGGTGCCGTGGTATGACCATCACCGACCGGTGTGCGCGTGGTCGGCCGTCACGGCTGGTGGTGCTGGAGGCTGTTCTCCAGGGACAAGGGGTCGGTGTCCTCCGACACGAGGTTGAAGTAGACCAGCACGTTGTGCCAGGGACCCTTGTCGAACCGACTCTCGCCCCTGTCGTCGTGGTCGTGGTCGTGGTGGTTGTTATGTTATGTTATGTTACCACCAGCCGCCAGCCGCCACACCACCGTTGTTTTGGTGCACACATGAGTAAGCGTGGTGGGAAGTAGATCACCGGGTGGGTGTGAGGGTGCGAGGGTGCGAGGGGGCGTACTGGTGGAAGTAGGAGTAGCGGGCCTGATTGATGCGCTCGTTGGTGGTCACGTTCTGGACCAGCCAATACGTCACTGAAAACGCGAAGCCGAACGCCAGGCAGAAGCTGACCGTTGGGGGTACGCCAAGGCCCACCACCCACCGAACACGGGTTCGTCACGCCAATGAACAAGCCCTGGGAAGGGGCACCACGAGAGGCCGTGGGTGTACGTGGTTGTGGCGCGTGTGCGGAGAGATACGTACAAATTGAAGAGGACGAGGGACAGGGCGTAGACGACGTACTCGCGAGGGATGTCGTAGGCGATGGGACGCCGCCACTGGGGGTACGGGTCCGTGCGCAGGTCTGGAGTGAAGAAAGGAACGCGCGCGTTCAGGGCGGGCGGGCGGGGACAACGTACTTGGGGGGGGGGGCTTTCCTCACCCGGTACAGCCCGCCACCGCCGATGCGGCCCCGGGGTGTGGTGGGTTTGTACCGGCGAGAACGAAGCCGAAGGCGCACAGGAGATTGAGGCACTGGTGGACGGTGAAGCCCCAGAAGTAGGGGGCGTTCTTCTTGCCCACGCAGTTGGCGATCATGGGGCAGTGGTGGTCAAACCGCTCTGCCCTCCACGCCACGCGAGCACGCCATGATGAGACGTGCAATGGGCAGGGGAGCCACGCAGCTACACATGGGCGGCACATGTGCAACCCTGGGCGGGCGGGCGGGCGGGCGGGCGGGGAGTGGGGAGGGGGAGGAGTACCAACACAGCGGTCGCAGGTGCGGCAGTGCTTCGATCGCAACGGACGAGGGTAGATCTGTCCAGTCGTGACCCCACATGGTCAGGCGCCACACACGTCAAAGCGCCACATGTCCGTATGCGTGTACACGTACATCAATGCAGGACACACACACACACACACACACACACACGACACACACACGCCACACGACACGGAGACCACGCACGAAGGAAAGAGCAGGCGGGGTACGTTGCATGTGGAGCAGTACAGGTGTGGCGCCGCCGCAATGGTCTCATCCTGCTAAGTAGGCCAACGCGCGCCACCACCACGCAGCGGTCGATGGGGAGGGAGACTGTCAGCCTGTGGCCAATCACAGCCACACCAACGTGGTGGTGGTGGTGGGTGGGTGGGTGGGTGGGTGGGTGGGTGGGAGTTGGCTCGCGTACGGATGGTGCAAGTGCGGTCGGGGTGGCGATGGGAAGGTAGCCGGGATCGGAGGTGGAGGCCAAATAGTAGCAGCCGGCCGCAGAGAGGGAGGTGACGACAAGGCCCACCCACAGCATGCCCGTCTCGGGTGTCTGCAGGTGCGGGTCTGCAGGGCCAAAACGAGACTCAATGCTTCTTCAAGAGGAAAGAGGAAGGCACACGCCGCCGGAACATTCAATAAGCGTTTGGGGGGCGGGGGTACAGCTGAGGCCGACGATGTAGGCTGCACAATGGCAGACTGCCCAGACAGTGTAGTAGATTGTGTTGCTCATTTTCTCCAGCATAGGGGCAGCTCTGGCGGCTTTCTTGGTCCGGTGCTTGGCCGATGCCACGTCTGCACCTTCGCCAGCATGCTGGTCTGTCTGCCCATCCTTGAGGGCTACGGTGCGCAGCATTCGTCCCGAAACAGAATGCAAAAAAAAGCAATAAAAAAAAACAAAAAACAAAAGATATCATTATTGGAGGCAGTTTTGGCGCCAAGGGAAGAAAAAGAAGATCAAGAAGGGGCGGCAGCGTGAATCAAGCAAATGATCTTCGGACGCCTGCAGTGGGTTTCCCACAACGGTGCGTCTTGGTTTGTGTGGTGCCGCGTTTCGTGGGAGGCCGCGCTCCCAACATCCATCCTGATTTTCTGTGATGCCGCCGTGCAGGCTTTCCCATCTACTCTATCGATGTCCATCCTGAGGGGAAGCGCTTTGCTACGGGAGGCGGAGGTGCCCACCCTCCCCTTTTCACCATCTCACCCTCCTCACACCTCACCACTCTCCTTCCGCGCCTTTCCAACGCGTTGTTGGGCCGCTGCCACAAGGGCAGATCACAAGGTCAAGATTTGGAATTTCGACCTCGTGCTCAACGACGGACCGGAGGGGGCGGTCAAGTTGTTTGCGGCGATGGAGGGCCATGGAGGCCCCGTGAACTGCGTGCGCTTCTCGCCGGATGGGCGCTTCCTCGCCACGGCCTCCGATGACCACGTGGTGCTCGTGTGGGAGCTCCGCGGTGGACCCGCCACCCCCGTATTTGGCTCCGAGGAGACCAACGTCGAGAACTGGGGACGCTCCGTCACTCTCTCCGGACACACCACGCGTACGTGTCCTCCTCCGCCGCCGCCGCCGCCTCCTCCTCCTGTCATCTTCGTGATGATGACGATGACGACGACGATGACGGTGGCCTGCTCTCGTGATACAATGCGCCTCCCCTGCCCTTGTTCGCCCGCCGCGCGCTTATCACCTAGCACCACGGAGGAAACACTGACGCGGGTTTGCTCGCTTTACCGTCGTGTGTGTCGTGTCGTGTGTGTCGTGTTGCGGGTCCGCAGAGGTGAACGACATCAGCTGGTCCCCCGATGGCCGGCGGCTGGTGACGTGCAGCCTGTCGAGCGAGGTGTTCGTGTGGGACATCTTCGCCAATGGCGGCCGCGGAGCTCTCGCGGCCAAGCTCGTGGGTCACACGGGGTTCGTAAAGGGCGTCGCGTGGGACCCGCTTAACCGCTTCATCGCCACCGAGGTAGGTCCCCGTGTACGGCTTGGGGGCGGGGCCACGTGCGAGAAGGAGCCTAGAGAGTCGCGTGGTTGTGTTCGTTATTGTGTGTGTGTGTGTGTGTGTGTGTGTGTGCAGTGGGTCGCGACTGCGTGGGCGAGTTGTCGTGTTGCTGTGTGTGTGTGGTGCGTGTGTGTCGTGTGTGTGTGTGTGTGTGTGTGTAGTCTCGTCTGTGTTGAGATCCGTGAGCTGACAATGGATCTTCCCGCTGTACCCTTTTGCGGGCGTGTGGCGTGTCAGGCCGACGACAAGACGGTGATCATATGGCGCGTGTCCGATTGGGACAAGGAAGCCACCCTCGCGCGGCCCTACCGACAGTCCTCCTCCAACTGCTTCTTCCGCCGCATCGGGTACACTTCCGCGCGTGCGTGGGTCTGCGCGCCGTGCATCGGTGCCACGCACGCACGCACTCACGCGCGTGGGTCCACCTTGTGGCAGGTGGTCGCCCGACGGATCCTTCCTCGCGACGGTCTACGGCTTCAACAACACCAGCCACGTGGCCCCGATCCTGCTTCGGGGCACCTGGGGCAGCTCCTACTGCGACTTTGTAGGCCACAAAAAGCCCGTCGTGTGCGCCGTACGCGACCCCACCGGCCCCTCCGCTCTTCCGCGCTTGCTCTGATTATTGCATTTTTACTTTTATTAATACCGTGTCGCGTGTGGCGTATGGGCTGTGGCGGCGGCGGCGGCGGCGTGCTCAGAAATTCAATCCCGTCCTCTTCGTCGACGCCGACTCCAAGAAGGGCAAGCGGTCCACGCTCTCCTACTGCGCCGTGGGTAACGCGTTTTCTCTCTCTCTCTCCCCCCCCCCACACCGGAGGCCGACCTGCGCTGGCATGGAATGGGTGAAAGGGATGAGACGTGGCGTGTGATCCCCCCCTCTACCCACCACTGACGGAACGCTCGAGCGCGTGCAGGCAGCCAAGATTGCGGTCTGTCGGTGTGGAGCACGGAGACGACGAGGCCCAAGCTGGTGACCAAGAACATCTTCAGCCAAAGCGTGCTGGACATCGCGTGGGCACCCGACGGCTACACCCTCCTCTGCTGTTCCACCGATGGCACCGCCGTCTCCCTCCACTTCGACCCCAAGGAGGTACGACACACGCACACGACACGCACACGAGCACACACGAGCACACGACACACGACACAGCCCCTTTGGTCGGTTCCCCTCCTATCCCCCGTCGGAGGCCCTCATTCGTGACTCGCCGGGCGTGCAGCTGGGCGAGGCGATGTCGGCGCAGGAGAGGAGCGAGATGCTGAAGAAGCTGGGTGCGCCCCCCGTGGACGTGCTGTCGGCACTTGCCGAGCACCCCCTGCAGCTGCAGCTCGAGAAGGAGGCGTCTGCTCTCCGCAAGCAGCGGGAGCAGCTCCCTGCTCCCTCTCCCGTCGTGGCCCCTCCCCTCCAGTCGGCCACCCCCAAGCGCATCGCCCCCACCCTCGTCTCTGCTGCGGCGACCTCCTCCTCCACCGCCGCCGCCTCTGCCGCCGTCGCGACAACGACGACGGCCGCCACAGCTTCCGCGCCCGGCACGCCGGTAGCACAGCAAATGGAGACGCGGCTGCCCACCGGTAAACGCCGGATCACACCACAATTCCTCGGGTACTCAAACCCCCCCCCCTTACCGCCCTACCCCGCATCCACACTTGGCTTCCCCTCCAGCCAGCCGACTGCAGCCAGCTGACTCGCGTGGATATGATGGTGGTGGCGGTGGCGCGCGACCGCCTGTGCAGGTCGACGTACGCCTCGCCGCGGCCCGTCACGCCCTTCACGTCGGAGACCAGCAACTCGAGCTCGAGCCTGCCTAGTCCCGCCCCTGCCCCCTCATCATCATCATCATCGTCCTCCTCCTCCTCGTCGTCGTCGCGTCCTTCCACGCCCCTCCGCCCAGCCGCCGCCACCGAAACGAAAAGGTGCGCACCCCCCAATCTAGACGTCGCGGCCGTACCGTTTGCACTTCCTACCACTGCCCGCCCCGCCCCGCCCCGCCATCGAAGAAGAGTTCCTAACCGAGAAGGGCGGGCGGGCGGGGGGTCCTTTCGTGGGTTGGGCAGCGCGGGCACCCGCATCGGCCACGCTGTGGAGCCCCCGCACAAGAAGGCGCGGCACGAGCCCCCCGCTTCACCGGCAAGTCCCGCGCGCGACAAGCAGCAGCAGGGCACCAAGAAGGGAGCGGCCAACGACAAGGACAAGGGCAAGGACAAGGCGGGCAAGAGCAGCAAACAGCAGCAGCAGCGGGACCAGGCGACCAAGGCGGACAAGCAGCAGCAGCAGCAGCAGCAGCACAGCAAACCCCGAGCAGGCCCCTCCGGACGACCTACCCCTGCCACGCCCGCCAGCGCCGGGCGAGCGTCCCTCGACGGACGCCTACCGCGCACCAAGTCGCTGTTGGGCGGCCCACTTGGTGCGCACCCCCCCCCTCCCCCCAGCCAGCCAGCCAGCCAGCCAGCCACCGTACACAGGCCGGGTCGCGTACTTGCGCCGGCGGAGGGTGAGCGCGTGGTCGCATTATCCCTGTCCCGACTGGCTGCTGACCTTGTGTGCGTGTGCGTGTGCACGTGCGTTTCTGTGTGTGTATGTGTGCCGTGCGTTGCGGTGCGTATCGCGTGCCAGGGGCGATCATTCCGGTGCCCATTTTGGTGCCCAAGATATCGCGTCACCTCCACCCGCCCACCTACGACTCATCTTCACTCGCCTTCCTCGAAGTCGCCATCACCACGGCGCGCGAAAACGGTGCACCTCGATCGCCTGCTTACCTCCTCCTCCCCATCCCCCGGCCCAACCCCCAAGGCTGTTCTCCATTGCGCCCTGTCCTGGGTCGCTCCAGCGTGGCAGCGCCTCACCACCTCCTTTTTTTAATGTACCGGTGTGTGTCGTGTGTGTGTGGTGTGTGTCGTGCCGTGCCGTGTGGTATCAGTGTACACCTCTTGTGTGGCTCTCAAGGAGGGTGGGCGCACGGTATGGGAGGACTACATCGCCGGCCGAGTGACCGCCATCGCCGGCAACGCCAATTTCTCTGCCATCGGGTGCGAGGACGGTTCGCTCTTCGTCTATTCGCCTGCTGGCCGACGTGTACTTGCCTCCTCTCCTGCGCCAGGCCCTTTTGCTCCCTCCCTCGCCGGCACACACCACACCCCAATCGTGACGTTGCTTTGGGTCGTCGTGTGCGTGCCGGGTGGGTTGTTGGGTTGTTGGGTTGCGTGGCCAGATGTTCCCCTGCATCATGTTGGGCTCGCCCGTCACCCATCTGGACAGCAACCTGACCCGCCACCTGCTCGCCGTCACTTCCGACGCCGCCCTACGCATCTGGTGCGCGGCAGGCCTCCCCCCCCCTTCCCTCACGAACAACACAAATATTGTATTGGGGGCGAGGGAGGGAGGG